TACAGATAAACATAATATAGTATTTTTTAAAATGCTTGAATGTAAGTAGAAATATAAAAGTATGACGCCCCCATAACTCCAAAGGTAAATAGATAGATATCTCGCTAGCCAGTTCTCGTACAAAAAGTTTTAATAGTTACTGAACTCAATAGTTAGATAAATAGACAGGCACACAGACAGACAGACAGACAGACTGAAAGACAGACAGACAGACAGACATACATACAGACAGACAGACAGATAGATAGATAGATAGATAGATAGATAGATAGATAGATAGATAGATAGATAGATAGATAGATAGATAGATAGAAAAAGGTGTCAATAACAAACAAAGAGTGATACAGAGGCAATAAGATAAATGAGAGTAACATTAATTTTACCCTTTCCCCTTCCCCTTCTATTGTTAAGTGTCCAGGGGAGATGCAATTTTTAATGTCGGTCTTGTGCCAGTTTAAAATGGTTAACATCATCTTGTTTTAACATTTCTATTCTGTTGGAGGACCTCTTTAATGAAATTTAGCAATTTTTTTCCATGTCTAATTTTGTCTTGGTATCTTGAAACTCTTACGTTTTTAGATATGCAGCTGGTTGAAATATTTTTTTGTTTTGTTTGGGAGTTGGGAAAAAAAGGGGGGGAGGGGGAGAGTTCTCATATGGTGACCGAACCACATCATTCTTTGATGTTGAATGTGCTCTACGACCGGGTTAATCCGTGTTCATTTACGGAGGGTTTTTAATTGTTCCTTACTTAGTTGGAGTCTTTTTTGGAAAAGGGGGGGGGGGCACTGACTAAATATTTCATCGCATTAGCAATGATCTTTCTTTTCTATGCTACACTAAGTAAGCTGCCACATCTGTTATTGAATTAACAATGTTAAGTACATTAACAAAACATTCACATTTATCACGGCTACTATGATTGCCATCTCACTGTCCTCCCTCCCCCTTCCTTCCACGCCATCATTAATAAAGACAACAACAGTAAAATTGATAACCGAAGCAACAACGACGGTGTAACACCGAACAACGGCAAAAACAAAAGCAATTACAACGACAGCAGCAGCAACACTACTATAACAGTACAGCAGCAGCAACACTATTATAACAGTGCAGCAGCAGCAACACTACTATAACAGTACAGCAGCAGCAACACTACTATAACAGTACAGCAGCAGCAACACTACTATAACAGTACAGCAGCAGCAACACTACTATAACAGGACAGCAGCAGCAACACTACTATAACAGTACAGCAGCAGTTGCAGACGCAGTAAGATTGCTGCTTCTCCCACCTGGCTACAACGAACACAAGCACCAATATGACGTAGAAGAGAACGAATCCAAACCTTGCAGAAGGCTGCTCCCAGCCGCCACGGCGTTAGCTCAAAGTATACGGTGAAGGAATCCACCATGACGACAAAGCCCAAGTCTGCTAATGCAATGCTTAGGATCTGTGGGACATAAAGAAGTTAATACGTTATTTTCCGTGGTAATTAATTAGTTAATTTAGTTGTAGGCTCTGCTTATTTGTAAAATATGGTATCTCACAAACGATAATAATTCATTTCTTCAAAGCTACCTGCGTCACAGATAATATAGATAATCATCGAATCTGTCAGCACGTTCATATTGTTGATTGTCGCTTAATTTTTCTATTTGATTAGGAATATTTTGACTTAGGATTTGATGATTAACAGGTTTTGTTTATAAGTAGTTTGGATCCTTTCCGGAAATTCGAGATTTCCGCATAGTAATTTAAGAGTTTATAGCTCCATGAAATACACCAGTAATTCTGAAAACAAAGCAATTAACAATGTTGTGATAATGTTGGTAAAAGAAATTTTTTAACGTATTTGAATATTGTCGGTTTTTGCTACTTTGTTCTCCCCTAACAGGGGTGTACTGCACAGTCCAGAAAGGCGCACAAAAAAATCCACACATGGAAACAACTACTAACATTACAAGATAAATAGCATAAAGTTAAGAGTACTCGCCCACTTCTTGTTTATTGGTTAGGTTATCATCTTCTTCCTCCTCGACTTTTCCACATTTGGAGAAGCTACAACCCTCCACCCGCCCACTCCCAGTTGCAATAGATGTAGATTGCGCCTCGATCATAACACTTTTCGTGCCCCCTACTGACCACATAGCGACCTTAGACGGCCTATGATTGGTTTAATGTAGCAGCGTATCTAATGAGATCAGGTCTCTCCTACCGTGCTTGCAAGGCAATGAGATACTTAATGTCTTGCTGGGCCTAGAAAGCGTTTTCATCGGCCAATCAATGAAACCATTTGGATCGGTTAATCAATGAATTTGAACGATATATTGCACCCCTTGACTCTTGCTACATATAATTATCAAGAGGGATGGCATTCAAGGAAAAAAGCACACGGCCTCAAAGTTATCGGGCTGGATCTGATGAATATGTATTTCGCTTTAAAAGCCAGTCTTTTGTTTAAGTTAGCCTCTTTTTTTCTCAGTGGCAACACACAGAGTGCACGGAAATAGCTGTCGTCGCAAAGAGACCTGGAATCAATGACAGCTTTCCAACACAAGGAGGAGGAATCTTCCCAATCATAAGAAAAGTAGACAACATAATGAAAGGAGTCAGCAGAATACACAGTTTGGTAAACTAGACAGTTCTCCTATTCGACGAATTTGTTATGATTTATCATCGTGTGTAATTAGGGCTTTCGTGCCTGTGTTTGCCAGAGATGAAGGGGATTCTCTCTCGGCTGGAGGTTGTGACGGGCGCCGTAAGTGAATAATCTGATTTACTTTTCAGAATACTCTGGTGGATTCTATACATTCTAACTTTGTCATAAAGACGTGCTTGGTGAATAAGCTGTAAGAATGTTCCAGAAGGCAAAAAATAAAAAAATAAAAAAGGGGAAGGCATCGCTTGTTACATTTATATCCACCGTCAGCCCTTGCCTTGCAGCATTTTATTACTGTAAAAAAGGTAGCAGTTTCCGCCTTTCATACCATGGTGGGATACATAATAGCTGACTCTGGAAGGAATCCGAAGCAAGGCATTATCGAACAAGGGTTGCTTGACAATTGTTTTATGACCTTTCATAAGTTTTGGCCCGGTGCTACAGCTGAGATGTGTGTTTGGTCGAAGTTCCCTATTCTTAGAGTTGAGAAGGGAGTTAAACCTACCATACCATACCATATCATACCAAACTATACCATACTCTACCATACCATGGCTGTAATCAGTTAAAAGATAAGAATTTCAAGGCCATATTATGCCTAACACATAATATTATGCTTGTGACAGTAAGGTTAAAAACGAAAGCTTGGAATAATAATAACAGTAGTATTGTAGATGCATAAGGAGCATTGTTCATAATTTTTTTCCCTGAAAAAAGCAAAACGAAACACACCC